GGCTGACATACACCTACTCATGCCTTTGTAAATCCACATGTGTTTGTAATTTGGGGTTGGTATGTGAAAACACACTCTTCTATTTATCTCCAACTCAGGCAGCTGGGCCATCTTCCTGGACTGGCTTCTCGACACCGGGCCACTGAGACGCACGGGCGCGGGTTCCAGGCATGGAAAACCCTCTGGCTGCACTTTGCAGATCTCCTTGGCCCCTGCTACTGTGGACTTTCTTGATCAATAGATGGTCAACGGCCTACCAACTCCCTGACAAAGTACAAACCAACATAGAAGTCTCTAGAAGCATTTGGGGGATTCTCTACCTGCCCTTTTATAAACAGCAGGAAGAAGAAAATGTCATGTGAAAAATACACTCACACAAAGGCTGCACCTCCACTAACCCAAGATGGTCTCTGTCATCTTCAAACTCCACTTATTTGAGGTTCTCCTACTCCCTTCCAAAAAAATAAGAATTAATTTATTTCAATCCCCAACTTTTTATATTGAAAAATTTCAAACCTACCAAAAAGTTGCAAGACTAGTACTACAACACGTGTGTACCCTTTATCCAGATACAGCCACATTTCCTTCCACCTCTATCTCCGTGTGCGTATAAAATTACACATGACACGCACAAGCCTTTTTGCTGAACATTTTGAGGATTGGTTGTACCCATCACGATGCTTCATTTCCAAATACCCCGGCACATGAGCCTCCTAAGAGCAAGCGTACTTCCCTATATACACACGCAGGAACGCCAGCGCTGAGAGAACACCGTTAGCTAACATTTGATTCATATTTAAATTTCCCCAATTGTCTCGTAATGTCTATTATGGTCTCTTTTTCTCAATCAAGGATCATACGCTGCATCTGGCTGTCATATCGCCTCAGTCACCTTTAATCTGCAACGGTTTTCCAGGGTTTTTGGGGATGGAATGGGATCTTAATGACACTGAGAATGTTAGGAGTCAGGCCAGCTGTTTGGCGTCATGTCCCTGAATCTGGACTTGTCCGATTGTTTCCTCAGAATTGTCGCGATTACTCAGGGCATCTCTAGAACACCTAACGTCATTTGAACCCTTTATAGGTAGTGACTGTACTTAAGAAAGTATTTTTTTGGGTGAAAGATATTAAATTAGTAAAGAAGATATAAGTAATATATAGGATGAAGGTGAGTGGGGAAGTGTTAGTTGAAAAAGGGCAAATAAAGGAGAAAGAATGGAAAGAACAAAGTGGAAAGGAAATCTGCACGAAAAAAAGAAAGAGGAAGAATAGAAGTCCAGTCCGTGAAGGAAGGAAAGCGAGGGAGGCCATCTTGCTGTCTTGCACCAAATGGCCTGACGGCTCCAAGACAGAGGCAACTTGATCCGCAATAAGAAACATTCGATGCACGATAAGAAATAATATAAATGCATGTGTCCCAAATACTTAATTTTACTAAAAGTATTTATGATTCACATCTTAAATTAAGGTTTCAAAACTCTTTTCTCTTTAGCTGCCAGACTGGAAGCTGCTTGTTTCTGCTCATCTGGGTTTTTCCCTGGACTTTTTCTTAACTTTACTCTGCAAGATTTTCTTCTATGACATTAAACCCCAGAACTTCAAGGTCAGGGGGATGCCACAGCCTTGGGGCCAAACAGGTATTTGTCAGGATCATTAAAACTCTGTCTTTAACATGGTGAATTTAATAAAAAGTTTTAAAAGCAATTAAAATATACACACATTAATATGTGTAATCTATAAAATACCCATATGTTGATTATTTATTTTGTAAGACGATTCAAATCTATTCCTTCCAAATTTATTTTCCTATGTATTAACTCGGCTACGTAATTCTGACAAACAAAATCAGAAGGATTTTTAATGACTAAATCACCAACTCACTACCTACCCATATGAGAAATAAAATGCATCCACAGAAATAGTAATTCTTAAAGAAAACATCTATTTCATTAAACTTGCTGAAACCGTGAGCCTTCCTACCAGGACCTGCACGGTTCTCAAACACAATTGTTTTCCTGTCTCATCCAATTTCAATTAGTCATCATGATACAGCTAAGAAACTTTTTAACAACAATCAGCAAAGACTCCGTAGGATCCTGCCTAAATTCTTGACATTTTTCTCATTGCTTTGTGCAAAAGCACTTGCACAGAAGCCGATCACAATGGAAACAATCAGTGAATTATTACCAGGCCACATACGTCCTCAGCTGTGTGTGTGTGTGTGTCTGTGTGTGCATTTGCCAGGTTCCCTCCAGAACTAAGATTTGGTTCTCTTCCCAATCTTCCACCTCTTTCCTTTTTCTACACAAAGGGCAACATTGATTAACAATTAAAATTACTTGCCAAGAGTTATGAAACGTATCAACGCATGAAAAATATTCTGCTTCTGACCACATGTGAGCGTGTGAGTTTTATGGGTCTTATGTAGGTAGGTTCAGAAGGGCAAGGGCTTTGTTTAAACAGTTCTCCAGACGACATTCGATCACCTGAGTGCCCCAT